GTATTGTCGTCCATGTTTTTATTATTTGTTATATATTCTTCCTGAATTTCTTCTCCAAATTCTTTCCATGTTTTTGCTTTTGTTTGTGTGACTGTCTTCTTTACCAATCGTCTCTGCCTATAGTATTTTTCTTTATCTTCTTCTAATCCCGTTTCGATGTATTTTTTCCATGCTGTTTTCTTCTTTTTATTTTTATCTTCACTTCTTTATTCCACCATCTTGTCCTTTTCAACTGTTTATTATATTTTTGATTCCACACACTTCAGTTGCTGTTGTCTTTAATACTTCAGTGTAAGTATTCCATCTTTCTTCCATTGTCCATGTTTCTTTTTGGCACTCTATTTGTCTCAGTCTTTTCTAAGTTTCCTCCGTGTAAAATTCGCGCACACTTTCTATCTTTAGTTTGTTTAAATTTACTTTCTTGTACTCTTTTCTTTCCACTTCCTCCATTTTTTCATCCACCAGTTTTGCAGTGACCATTCTGTGTTTAGACAGTTCCGGTTTCTTTTCCGTTAAGACGTTTTTTATATTTTGTTCTAGGTTTCTCGTATAGACTATATAGTTGCTTAAGCTTTTCGCATTTCTCTCTTCAGCCACACATGTATATTTGTCGTTAATGGTTTTCACTGAATGTGTTTCCTATTATCAGGTCATTGGTTTGGCAGAACTCTAGCATTTTAATTCCATTTCTATTTAATGTTTCTTCCGACTAATTTTGATAAATATCTTAAAAATTAACAAAAAAAAATAGTAATAAATTGTTAAGTGTTGTCAAATCGGTATATTTCATCCCTGCTATCCCTGTTAGCTATCACAAACTCAAATTGTTATGAGAGCAAAAGTTGGGCGTGTTGAAAAAATGAAACTACTTAGTCCAGTCATCAGAGAGTTGATCCCTAAAAATCATACGAACAAGCTATATTTTGTAGAGAATATTAATTTTGGCACCCCAAAAACGATGCAAGAAAGTTTATCACTTTAACTCCCGGGCTTCCCCCTAAAATCCCTCTAGCAGGGATTTGAAATATGAATAAAATACGCAGAATTTAATGTTTTACATTACAAACGATCACACGTCACGGGAAATGCATTAAAAAAAAACGATTTTGGGTGTAGTTTATTGCAGACATTTTGTTCTTTTGAAAAACCTAAAAGCGTAATTGAAAAAAAAGTTTTAAATGTTTTTGATCGTTTCTTGCGCGAAAGTTTAAATCCAGTGTTTTTAAGCATATTTCAAATACCTCACATTTGTTGCCAAAACTCAAAACTAAAACTTTATTTTATAAGTTTTAAAGGTTAGGATCTAGTAATCGAAACTTCATAGTGGCCAGCCAATCAATGGGATAGATTGTATTGATCTCGTGAAAATAAAAAAGTTTAGTTACGCCAAAATACAAAAAACTGCATACGAAATGTGAACTCTTTACCTTTAAAACGCATATTTTATTGAACATTGATTTCGCGCGCGTAACTTACATGCAAAATCGACGGTCGCTTTAAGCATTGTTTATAAGAGAACGGTTCATTCTACACAAATAATGGTTATAAACATTTTTGTTTAAAATTATCTCAGCTACATTTTTTATTTGAAACATTTTTTTACGTTGTACAGATTCTTGGTTATATTTTTTTTGCGTTTTTACCCCCTGCGGGGAGGTTTTATGGGGAAGCCCTGAGGTACAGTGGTAAACTTTTTTGCTTTTTTTTGAGGTCCCAAAATTAATAATCTCGGCAAAATTCAGCTTGTTCGCATGATTTTTAGAGATTCAGTGGAATTTTCGTGTCTGGAGTATCACGAAAAATTAGCTTGTTTGTAATAAAGGGTGAAAATGGGCCTGGGATCCCTGAAGTTTTTGTCAAAAAATATAAATTTTGTTGTATTTACTGTTTCAAAAGGGGACAGACTTTATTACAAACAGTTTTTACTATTTAAAAATGTTTAAGTAGTCCAAAATATTTTAACGTATATTTAAAAAAATTATAGTATATTATTTATTTGTAAAAACATCTCTCCCAAAACCAGACCTGCATAAGCAAACAAAAGATAAATAGTAAACACTTAAAAACACTTAATACATACATTGTACTGATTGCACCAATTATTATACACGCATAGTTTTTACAGTTAAATTCTTATGTAACTAATATTATAATAATATATGAGTAATATAGAGAAGGATTTCAGTTTTACAAATTAATGAAAACTCCTTCAAATTATAATTTAACTTGATGGAAAACTCACTTCATCTGAAATTTGAATTTTAAACGGCTTGATACTAGTATCCACTTTTGCCGGCTTGGACACTTTCCACCATCTCTCACCCAAATCCGGCACCTTCGGCGTTTCAAACAAAGATTTTGTACTATAGACAACTAAAATAGCTAAAAGCACTGCAACAATAGCCCCGACTTTAGCACAACAACCCATTCTTATTCGTTCACTTCTCACACACAACTGTCAGAATCAGAACTATAACTATTGTTGGCCTCGGCGCTCCGATCGGTAGGAAGGACTGATTATTTGAAATTTGAACGATGCGCTGCGCCGGTAGGGAGATCCAAGGTCTAGGTCAGTGAGTTCAATTGGTTTAAAAAAATTCCTGTAAAAACAATTCGACTAATCTACAATTTTAGACGGCAATAACCAAAGTGATAACATAATGAGATATACACGTCGCTATCTTTTGGTTCGTTTAATATTTACAAATATTTGTAGAGCAGCATTGAAACAAGGCATTATTCTATCTATTGAAAAAAGTGTTTCCTTCAAAACTATTCTGATATATTTATATTTCATTATAACTTGGTTGAAGTAATAAAAAACCCAAGAAAAATATGTCAGTTTTCTTAAATATTGTGCAGTTTTAGTCAACATAGCAATTTCTAAAAATGCAATAATAATTTATTATGGCAATTTTCCAGTAAACGGGCCGTTGAGTTTATATTTTGTTTGTGTTTTCTAGAACTTACAAAACAAAAACAAAACTAAAACAAACCCAAAACTCTTGTTTCCATCAATCGGACTATATTTTGTTTTTACTTTCGGTCTTTTTCCACTGGTTGTCACTTGTCACGAGTAAGTCGAAGTTCCGTTTTTATTCAGTTGTATCTGATTCAGCCCTCGGAAAAAATGATTTATTTTTGGTATTCATAAAATTCATTGCATTATAACCAAAACACTCTGATGTAATCTGATGTACTGCACCAAATTGTTTATTTTTTTTATAATCCCTTCTTTCACGTTGATATTTTGAAATTTTATTTTTAATTTTTCTTTCAATATTTATCCAGTTGGTGTCAAACATTTGAGCAATTTCCTTGTAGGAATTTAAATTCTATTTTTTGTTAACATTCTTTGGATACCACCACAAAATTCTATGTTCCCGGAAGGAATCTATTAACGTATTTTTGCAGGAGCTATGCGGATTCAAGAATTATCTCCTTCATACTCCCTCCCGATATGACCTTTATCTTTACGGCCAGTATCTTTCAGTTAAATACCTGAAACAAAGACAACGATAGTGTTTTGATATCTCATTTGACTGTTATACAGGTCCTTGGACTTTGGCACATCGGCCATATATAAGCTATACACTAATGCCAGATAGACCTTTTATTTTGCCCTTGTAAATCCCTATCTCTGGTATCAAAGCTACATCGAACTTCTGCCGAAGCTGCTTTACTATGAGGAGGTCCGCCTACAGGATTCTGATGGTTTTCAAGGACTCTCCTTCGTCTGTAATACGCCTTGAAATGAGTAGCCCTCAATTGGCTACTCATTGCAGAACGGCTGCAGGTAAAGTCAAATGGGCCGTGATGATCGCCAATGTCCTTAGGGATGGAGCACGTCAAGAAGAAGATCAGCCCTTTCTCGGGGCCGCGGGCTGAGGTACATTACATTTAAGTATATTCCCTCTTACAGGTATAATCCTCACCAAATCAGTAGTCCATTTTTTTGTATACTCGTTAACGAAGTTCTCCCACAGGGTCACTTCGCTAAACGATATACACATCACCACGAACCTAAAAGCTACTAATTCAGCTACAATTCATTCAGCCTACATCAGGAGCCATCAGCACGTTGTCCTGTGAAGTCATAAGTATCATTTTAAAATTTTTGTGAAGTTTTAGGCAAGATTTGCTTTGATTTTAATTTTATATTAAATTCTTTTTATATTTTTTATGTACAATAAATATGGTTAGTTAATATCTTGGTTTGTTTGTTCTAGCCAAACTCATTTTTCAGATTTACTTTTAAGATAAGACGTCCTCACACCTGAGAGACTGAGCTAGCCGAGGCTTAACAATTACTTCCAAATAAAGTTGCGAGTAAACTTCCAGAGGTAGTTATATTGGTTTCCCATTGATACCCACCGTTTCTGATGGGTCGTTTGAAAGTTACAATACATTAAGGTGTCTTACCAATAACTCGTTCGACTCATGGTAGCTGCCAACTTCAATACAACCCTTTAGTCGTTAGTCTTTTTTAATTTTCTTAACTGCTTTTAATGATCATTGATCATTTAAAAGAAAAAAATTTCTTGAATAGTCATTTTCGGTTTTTTATACATCGCAACAAAAAAAAAAAACAAAAACTTTTATAAAAATTTACTCATAACAAAAATATATACAAACAATTACTTTTTAGGTTTTTGCTTTTCGAAATCTTGAACTTTTTCAACAAAATCATACGTGTCTTTGGCTAGAAGATTTGGAACTTCAAAAGCTGCAAAATGGCCACCGTCTGTATGTGAGCTTGCTAACAATAAGTTGCGATACCTTTCCTTTAGGATTGATTCTGGTAAATACACAAGCTCATATTCAAATTGGGAGCATGCGCTGGGGACATCGATGGGAAGACTAAAAAATAAGAGTAGTGGGCATTAAAGAATTTCCGTCAATTGCTCTTTTATAGTAAAAGGAACTAAATCTTCCATTTAAAATATATATCAAAATCCCACAACGTTTCAAATAAATTGCTTAAAAAGTTAATAAATTACCTATCGACCTTCAAGGCGATGTTACTAGAATCGAATGAATCTGCATACAATCTCATTGAAGTAGTGATAGATCTGGTAACCCAGTAAACCATAACATTGTCCAACAACTTTTCGAATGTAAATTTCTTTGTCAATCCTCCATCTTCCAAGTCTTTCCATGCAGGATTGGTCCATGTGGTGAACTTTTCTATGATGTAAGCGGCAAGACCTACAGGGCTGTCACGTAGAGCGACACCTGGAATTAAACAAGTAAATTTTAAATACAGTAATTGTAAAAAACGAATATTTTTACATTTTTTAAAATTTGTGTATACGATAATAAAAAGGAAATATAGCTCCAGCAACTCCTAAACAGATCACAAGATTTTGTCTTGGTACCAGTGAGGGGTGCCTCATTGGGTCTACATGGCATTTAACCTGTGAAAAATAAACATGATGCGGTGGTATAATATCATGGAAGACTCTGTATATTTGTAATTAATCTAAAATATGAAGTTTATAACTACTTCCTATTTTTTGTAAATATTATTTTTTTGGTATATCCTTTGCTATGATAATTTTTGCCAAACCAGTGCTTATTTTCCTCTTATCAATTTGCAGATTTGTGGAGTCTTAAATCTGATAACATGATAATTGAGATTTCATCAGAAACCTCGTCAAGAAGAGCGGTGTCAGTATAATGTTGCACCACTTTTGAGGAAAGTGGGATATTTCCATTGATATTGATATAATTATGTTGAAACTTACCAACGGTATCTGGTTTAGTAGATTGAAGATGCATATAACCAGTTTCAAGCAACAAGTTTCCAAAAATTTTCATTCTGGGATAAACGAGATGTTGCTTGTCAGCTTCAATGATTAAAGAAGGCATAAAACTACCCAATGCTAATTTTAGATTAGAAAGAAAACTATTGACAACGCACATATTGGAATGGACTCCCAGCACTTTTTCTGGGAATAATGATGCTAAGTTGGATACTATTGCGGCACCCCAATCACCACCCTGAAGATAGTACTTCTGGAATCCCAATCTAGCCATAAGATTCTTCATAATGATGGCTATGTGAGGTGGATTAAGTCCAGGTACTTCAGCAGCTTCAGAAAATCCATAACCTAAAAAATTTATTTATTTTACTATATATTGTAAATCATACCGAGCGAAAAGGGAGAAAAACAGTAGGATAAGTAGTAAAATAGTAGAACATACAATAGATCAAATTAATGCATAATTTTTATTTATATTGTTTATATACCTTACATTTCTACAGAGGGCAAATTACTCATGGCTCCAAAACCTTCGCCAATGGACTGGCTTATCAGCAGATGACTTATTACTGCTGCGCAAGATCGAGAACGATATCGGCAATCGTATTGGAAGCAACCCACGCCTAAACTTGGGCACGGTACTTAAAGAAGAAGAAGAAATGAATTGATCGAGAGTAATGAAGCGAAGTGAAGACCGCTATTTGGTGATGCTACCCGTGACGACGCCATCTTGTAGCGCTAGTTCTGTGACGCTGGACTCAACATTTTATTATAGAGAAAGTAATACAACGCCAGTAGAGCAGCTTCGCTTCAAAAATAAAGAATAAATAATGCCAATAACTAATAGACATGTATGTTACTCAGTTTGTTCAGAATGTTTGCAATGTAAGACATAATTGTTTACGGACTGACTATAATTAAATAGCTACTTAATTATCTATTGTATGTATATCTTTTTTGTTAGTATGTAGTTTTTGTTTCATAAAATTGTTAAGTCATGATACAAATGCTACTACTATTATATATTTTAGATTATACCAATTATATCATAGCTGCAGAGTTGTTATTCAACTTACGTTGCTCACGCGGTAATATTCGAATTGTATTCATAGGACAATTTTATAAATCTTAACAATGAATCGACTTATTGTGACAGAAGAATATGCAACCTTGAGCTATTTTTAATCAAATAATATAAACTAGTAAAAGGGCAGCACGGAGTTCGGCGTATTTTCCCATGTTTAAATCCCATAAGAAATCGCTAAGGTTCATTCTGGTCATTTTTGTCTCTTTTTTTGGTGGGGGTAAAAACGGCTCGTCGGATCGTGACGTGTTGGGTATCGGATGGAAAGGGGAGGGGACGGGGAACATGTTAAGATAAAAATCAAATGTTAAGACAGTACCAAAATGGCGCTAGATCGTATCTCCGTTGTTATTGGTTCAATTGTGACGTATAAGGGCTCGTTGGAACGGGAGAGGGTAACGAATATGTTAATACATAAACAAACGCAAAAGACAATGCCAAAAGGACACTAAGCTTGTAACGTCCAAACGGCTCAACGTACAACAACGTGGTGAGTATCGATGGAAAGGGGAGGTGGTAACGACTATATTTAGATAAAAACAAAACGCAAAAGGACAATGCCAAAAGGACACTAAGCTTGCAACATCCAAACGGCTCAACATACAACAACGTGTGGGTATCGATGGGAAGGGGAGTGGTGACAAATATGTTTAAATAAAAACAAAACGCAAAAGACAATACCAAAAGGACACTAAGCTTGCAACGTCCAAACGGCTCAACGTACAACAACGTGTGAGGTATCGATGGAAAGGAGAGGTGGTAACGAATATGTTTAGATAAAAACAAAACGCAAAAGACAATACAAAAGGACACTAAGCTTACAACGTCCAAACGGCTCAACGTGTAAGGTATCGATGGAAAGGGGAGGTGGTAATGAATATAGTAGCATGAAAAGCAAACGCAAAAGACAATGCCTAAAGGACACTAAGCTTGCAACGTCCAAACGGTTCAACGTACATCAACGTACAACAACGTACAACAATGTGTGTGTTAGGATAAAATAAAACGCAAAGACATCGGCGCTACGTTTGTAACGTCCAAACGGCTCAATGTGTGAGGTATCGATGAAAAGGGGAGGGGGTAACTGAATATGTTAAGACAAAAAAGTCATATATATGTTGTTATCAGTCAGATTACTACGTGTAATACGTTAAATGAAAAGGGGAGGCGACGGGAAATATGTTAAGACAAAAGACAATGACCAAAACGCGCTATATCGGATCTTTGTTTAGCATAATAGACATTGGAGGAAAGTGAGGCTAACAGAGAATCATCGCCAAAAACGGTGCTATATCACATATTCAACATAGTTTGAATGAGATTCCACGTCTACTAGAGTTCATCATCTCGTCACGCACATCTGTCGACCACATTTGCACCTGACATCGTAAAAAGACACACGCCTATCTCTCTCTCTCTTCTCTTCTCTCTCTCTCTCGTGAAACAAAGCGAACGGTTGATGCTGAAAAACGATATAACGCGCAACAACGTGTGTGGTATTACTAGAAATAAAACATGATGCATCGAAGAACATATATTATTCTTACAGTATGACCAAACCAACAAACATTCTCTGATTAAGTACTACTATACACGGAACTTACATTACTAGTCAGCACTATTATTCTGTATATGCGTATCCACGGCAGTTCGAGTAATATTATAAAAATTATAGAATACAAATGTATTGTGAGTTGTATACTATATCCTACCTATGTCAATTCGGGTTATATACAAATTAGTGAATACAAATGGTGAGTTGTGACTATGCCAATTCGGGTGATATACAAAATTAGCAATGTAAAAATATTAATATTCAAATTGTGTATTTGTTAGCAAAACAGGATGAAGACATAGTATTGTAACATCTAAACCGGCTTAACGTACAACCATGTGCAAGGTATTGTTAAAAAGGGGAGGGAGTAGCGAATACGTTAACACAAAAACAAACGCAGAAGACAATATCCAAAAGGACACTAAGCTTGTAACATCTAAACAACTTAGCGTACAACAACGTTCAAGGTATTGTTGAAAAGGGGAAAGAGTACCGAATACACCAACACAAAAACAAACGCAAAAGACAGTGCCAAAAGGACACTAAGCTTGTAACATCCAAATGGCTCAACGTACAACAATGTGTAAGTTATCGATGAAAAGGTGAGGTAGTAACGAATATGTTAAGATAAAAATAAAACGCAAAGACATTGCCAAACCGGCACTAGGCTTGTAAACGTGCAAGGTAATGATGAATAAGGTAAATGGTAACGAATATTGTAAGATAAAAATACAACGCAAAGACATTGTCCAAACGACACTAAGCTTGTAACGTCCAAACCGCTCAACGTACAACAACTGGCAACGTATCGATGGAAAAGGGAGATGGCAATGGATAGGTTAAGATAAAATATAAACGCAAAAGTTATTGTCAAAACGGCACCAGGCTTGGATCGTCTAGACGGCAAAACGTATAACAATGTGTGAGATATCGATGGAAAGGGGAGGTGAGTACAAATATGTCAAAATAAATATCAAATGTAAAGACATTGCCAAAAGGACACTATGCCAGTAACGTATAAACAACTCAACGTACACCAACGTACAAGGTATCGATATATTAAAATAAATATCAAACGTAAAGACATCGAGCAAAGGACACTAAGCTTGAAACGTCTAAAAAAACAACATACGACAACGTGCATGGTATAGATGGAAAGGGGAGGCTAAAACCGAATATATTAAGATAAAAATCAAACGTTAAAGACATGTTAAAAAGGACACTAAGATTGAAACGTCCAATCAACTCAAAATATAACAACGTACAAGTATTTGATAAAAGGGTAGGTGAAAATGAATATGTGAAGATAAAAATAAAACACAAAGACATTGCCAAAAGGGCAATAAGCTTCACAACGTCTAAAACAACCCAACGTTAGGACAACGTGTAAGGTATCGCTGGAAAGAGGATGTGAGAACGAATAAGTTAAGATAAAAATCAAACGTAAAGACATTTCTAAAAGGACATTATGCTCGAAACGTCTAAACAACGCACCGTACGACAACGTGTAAGGTATCGCTAGAAAGGGAAGGTGAGAACAAATATGTTATGATAAAAATCAAACTTACAAACGTAAAGACATTCCCAAAAGGACACTAAGATTGAAACGTCCAATCAACACAACGTACAACAACCTACCAAGTATTTGATGAAAGGGTAGGTGAAAATGAATATGTGAAGATAAAAATAAAAACACAAAGACATTGCCAAAAGGACAATAAATTTGAAACGTCTAAACAACCCAACGTATGACAACATGTAAGGTATCGCTGGAAAGAGGATGTGAGAACAAATATGTTAAGATAAAAAATCAAACGTAAAGACATTTCCAAAAGGACATTAAGCTCGAAACGTCTAAACAACGCAACGTACGACAACGTGCAAGGTATCGCTAGAAAGGGAAGGTGAGAAACAAATATTGTTATGTTTAAAATTAAACGTACAAACGTAAAGACATTCCCAAAGGACATTAAACTCGAAACGACTAAATAACTTACCGTACAATAACGTGCAAGGTATCGATGGAAAGGGAAGATGTTAATAAATATGTTAAGATAAAAATCAAACATAAAGACATTAATAGAAGAACAGTAAGCTTAAAAAGTCGAACCAACTCAACGTAAATGACATCGATGAAAAGAGGAGGTGGAAAGAATATGTTGATAAAAATCAAATGTAAAGACAACGTCAACAGGGATAGTAAGCTTGAAAAGTCTAAAACAACTCAACGTACGACAACGTGCAAGGTATCGATGAAAAGGGTAGGCGGAATGAATATGGTTAGATAAAATTAAAAAAGCAAAGACATTGATAAAGGATACCAACATTAAAACGTCTAAACAATCCAACGTATAACAATGTGCAAGGTATTGATGGAAAGGGAAGGTGAGAACAAATATGTTAAGATAAAAGCAAACGCAGACACAATGCCAAAAAAAGTCCTAAGATTAAAACGTCTAAACAACTGTAATAACAATGTGTAAGGTATCGCTGGAAAGGGGATGTGAGAACGAATATGTTAAGATAAAAATCGAACGTAAAGACATTTCCAAAAGAACATTAAGTTCGAAACGTTTAATCAACTCAACGTACGAGAACGTGCAAGGTATAAGATGAAAAGGGGAGGTGAAAACGAATATGTTAAGATAAAAATCAAACGTAAAGACATTGCCAAAAGGACTCTAAGCTTGAAACGTCTAAACAACTCAG